CTCCTCGCTCCGTCATTGTTTACAAAATCAAACATAAAACAGCTTCATGACTCAGTCGTTTTTGGTGTTTATATGAAGATGTTGACGTCTCGTCATTGTAGAAAAAAAACCAATATCTGTCTGATTGATACTTCCTCGAGTGCCAAAGCGTGATTTGGACAATAAATCTAAAATGACAGAACTGTATTTGCAAATGAACCCTTCACGTAATCGCTCCAGAAATGCAATAACATCAATTCTCCCTCTGAAGTATTCAGCGTTTAGCGGAGCATGCACCCATGTCTCAGATCTCCATCTCGCCCTGCCAGAGAGCACGGCGGTGTTTAAAAGGACATCCCTTTCGCCCATTTGCATTTGGGATAAGTCAGTGATCGATTTCTTGCCACCTATTCCCCCCTTTTTTGGCTCCGCAGCGTTTTGCGCAGCGTTTGATCCTCACTGCTAATTTGTCCTCTGTAGTGGTCAGACGAGCCGTATGCAGCCCACCTGACCCAAAGAGACGGCTACCAGGCTGCAACCCAAGGACAGCTCAAGGACCAACTCTATCAGGAGATTATTAATTACTTCGATAAGGGCAAGGTAAGGAGTGTACCAGAACACACACACACACACAGATGTGCTTCGTTCTGTAGAACARCGATTGTTTTTCTGTTGGGCTAATAATCCTCTTCTTTTAGATGGATGAAGGTGCGTCTCAGACCACTAAAGTATTATTATTTTGTTCCTTTTGTAACCTAACCTTTTCTAAAAGCCTTCCCCTACTCCTCTTTTCAGGCCGTCCTATTTCTCTTTTACCTTAATACCACATCCGTGCTGTGCTTGAATGCCATCTGTGCCACTTCAGAATGAGAAAATGTCCCGCTTCATGGGAAATTGTTACCGTGCTTATTCTCCAACACTCTTCTCTCCCCTCCTCGCACCGAAAGAAGAAAACTGTCTTTGTCAGCCTGTAAGCCGAGCTTGGAGCGGATCTGCAGAGCTGTGGCCAGGTCTTCTCGGGGAGGGATGAGGTCCGAACGCGTGCGTCGTCAGAGTTGGGATGCAGCCCTGTATTCTTGCCTCTCCAGCCAGCTGTCAGTCAGGGAAGTACAGTCAGGGAGGGCAGACTGTGTGGATAAACACAAACCCACATGAGGGATATTGATGTGTTATAGTGGCTGCAAAAACAAACAAAAAAACATCGCCTCTCTGAGGAGCAGAGTTTCATCTGAGTGTCAAAGGAGTCAGACGGAAAGCGGTCCCAGATGGTGCCGCCGCCGCCGCTCGCACTGATGGAAGGCTGATCTGAGACACATTCTGGTCTCGGTCCACCTCCAGCCCGAGCTCAGTTCAATGGACTCTGTAAGGAAGTCAGTCAGAAGCCTTACAACATGTTTCAGGGGTTTATCCACGACGCCGGCCTGCTGCAGCCGACAAGCTCTGAGAGAGAAGCAATTAGAAGATGGCAATGAGAACAAAATAGAATTATATTTACATATTAAGAAAATGTTCACATGTCCAAATGTCCAGTCTCCCCTTGGATTAGGGTTGGAAAATAGTTTCTGAGCAGCTGTGAGAGCTTTTACAGAGAAATAATCTGTTTGAAGAGTTTCAGTCGAGGTCTAGAGCTCATTACAGCACAGAAACTTCCCTAATCATATTCTGATGGCGTCAGAGTTTTATTCATCATTTTCCTGTTGGAACTCCGCTGCGTTTGATACAGTTGATAACAATTTTAGACTTGAAAGTCATATTGGATATTTGGATATTGAATATTTTTTTGCAGTGTTGTTGATGACTTGGAGTTAACTTCTTTCCACCAGCACAAAATGAGTGCAGTATCTGCGCTTTATTCTGTATAAGTTATTTTAATAACTCTGTTTGCTTTATAGATGTGGGAGGAGGCGATCATTTTGAGCAAAGAACTGGCTGAACAGTATGAGAACGAAGCATTTGACTTTGAGCAGCTTAGTGCGTCTCTGGTAAGTAAGGTTGTCAGTTTATCAGTCTACATCGATATATCGAATAAACGATTCAGTTACATCAAGGCAAAACAAAAAACGGGGTTGAAGGACTGGTGTACGCTTTTCAAAAGGTTTTGATGCCCTGCATGACCGACATGCTTCTGTTGTCCTGCAGAGCAAATTCTTGGTTCATCCATGAAATAGACACACAGATCAGTTCTTAAATCACAGGTGAAGCTTTTAAGTGAGTCCAGCGGAACCAGGAGAGGTGATCGTGTCAATCCCAGAACTTACTGAATGAACTCGTTTTACCGATTCTCTTCAATCATTTTGTTGACCATCGCAGATTTGTGAACTGAATCAAAATCACGACACTGACAGTTTTTATATTAAATTGAAGCAATACAAATATGTGTAATATTTACAAAAAAAACATCATAAATAAAAGATGTTTAACTATAAATGTTTTTGTTGATGTTAAAATGAGCCACTCTATCTCTCAACAGCGGAAACAGGCCCAGTTTTATGAGAACATTGTGAAGGTTATCCGGCCTAAACCAGACTACTTCGCTGTGGGCTACTATGGAATGGGGTTCCCCTCTTTCCTACGTGTGAGTATTTTTTATTAAAATATATTTTCCATGTTCAGTCATCAGTGTCAACTTGGTCTGTTACTCATATTAGGTCCCACAAAATCTGTTGTTAACCTATTTGTTCAACTAATTGTGAGCTGAATGTGAAAAGGTGTAAGAAAAAAAATTTAAATTTGTGTTTTCCAAATACCTGATTTGTTTAATGTTTCTTACTCATTTTCATTGTGTCTTATTCATGTGTATTTCTTTTTGTTTGGTTCTTAAATCTGATTTATCTGGTATGTTTACATTAACATCGGTTGATTTATTTAAAGGAATCCCCATTCTCTTTGGAGTCCACACCAAAACACAACTCTACAATAAAAAATAAAACAACACAACCCCACCACCTTCCCTGATCAAAAGTCTGAAATAACTATAATCAGAAAAAGTAAGAAATTTCTTACGCTGATTTTAAATGACTTGTTTTAAAACTGTCTAAGTGGGTAATAACTTTGAGAATAGGCTAAAAAAAGGTTTATACAAGAGCCATTTATGAAACAAAGAAGGCGGCTGTCCGTCATCCATCAGAGGCATAAAATCAACAGTAACGCTAATTTTGCTGCTCTGTTCTGGACTATTTTCAATTCATTATGATTTTTTCGTGTGGCACTAGACCAAATCACTGAACAACAATCAAAATGGCCCAAAACTAAAGCCGGCACCACCATCTTCCTTTCAGGAGACCAAATTACTGACACATTTCTATTTATTTTCTTTACAATCGTACATTTATATATGGACTATGATAATATTTGGTCAGTTACAGCCGAGGAGGTTCTATAGAACTGGAGTGCACAAAAACCACGTGACCGTGTGATCGGCTGGAGAAGCTAACGGCTAACGCTAAACGGGCAAGAGTCTGGATTTCCCATTACTGTACATGTTGACAACAGAGCAGAAAAAAAGGACTGACGATGTAGAAATCATTAAAACTATTAATAATAATATTAATCCAATTATTATTAATATTTTACAGTTTATATAATCTACCTAATGTTTCAAATAATGTCAGAAAAGCTGTTTGTGTTTTGGATTTATTAACAGAAGATAAACAGGAAAACGTCTCATTTCACAACACAAGTCAGCAAATTTGATCTTATTTAGCTCAATGTGATCTGAGTAGAACATAATGTAACAGTTTAAAATTAAAATAATCTTATAAAGTCCATGTAATCACTGTTATTTATTGCACTGGTTAGCAGATATTAGCTTGTGGAGCATATATACAGAGTGTAGCACTGAATCATGCTACAATTTAACACAAACTATTAAATATTACTTTGTCCTCTAATATTTAGACCTACAGAGTGTAAAATAATATTATAAATGTCTGATTAATATTTAGACCTACACAGTGTAAAATAATATTATAAATATGAGTATTTTTAAGTTTCTGTTAGAGGAACCTGACCTGTTAAGAAGATGTTAGCTAATAGAGACAAGTTTCATCCTATAACCAGAGAACATTTTCTAACTGTTGACTGGTAAATATAAATATTATTATTTTTTATGACAGTAAGAAGAAATAATAAATATACTTTATTACTAGCTGAAGTCATCATTTTTCTAAARAYTTAGATCATTGTTACTTATAAATTATAGATTTTTCTGGTATAAATCTGCTGTTTTACATGATTGTTGAATGAAATTAACATAGTATTAATTTATTGTAAAAACATGACTGATAATCTGTGAAACAGATCCGGTTCAGCTGCTGTTTATCTATTAGTTTCTTGGGAGGCTGTGAGCCGTTGCCCTCCTCCATGCTGTCACAGATGCTGCCAGTGGACGGTATGGGCGGGACTCAGTCTAGTGATCTTTACATTTAAGTCTATGGTTATAGCTCTCTGTTGTTAGTTGATCCTCACCCACAATGGATTCTCAAAATGACCCAGATGAAGGCTCACAAGAACCAAACCTAATCTGTTGTTTCCAAACAAATGGCTGACCACGGCTCGGCTTGAACTTAAGCTAAAAACTATTTACTCCACAGTAAAAGCACTGGCCCGCATCACATGGCGTCACTCTCCCACCTGCACAGAAAAACCAGAGGAAATGAAACGGTCACTTTGTAAATAGTTTTCAGTGACTTCTGAATCATACGATATACATCTAAAAAATGCAACTCTACATGTCTGGATGTATAGAAAGAAAGCTCGTGCCAAGGTTTTAAACCACCATATTTCTTTGCACTTTATTTCCAAAAAGTGAGACTTTGTTGTGATATTTTAAAGTGGATTCCAGACTTTCTAAAGCTCTTTTATTTATTTTTTTCCTTTGATTGTTTTGGGCTGTTATTTATATATTTATTTTTTGTCCAATCCTTGTACCTGACCGTGGCAGCATATTGTGCAGTGTGTGTTTAGTAAAAAGGAACAAAGTAAACCAGAGAAATATATCTATGCCTGATGAACACTATCTGAAATTCATGGCTGGAATAAGAAGTAGAAAGAAACTAAAATGATGAAAAAGTCCTGACAGGACCTTAGATGCATCATCCTGAAGTTGATCATCAGCTGTGTGACAACTTTTCAGCTAATAGTGTTTTGTGAATCACCATGTTGGTGCTGAAATATAGATATTTTTCATAGGTTCAGCTAATTAAATCTGAATAAAATGTGAGAGTGACTCTGTCCACATGGTTCTGTTTAAAGTTTCACCATCATTTTAGCTTGTTTTTGCATCGCTGTGTCACTGAGGGTTAAGCCATAAATCGGATGAAAAAGCCTCTGCAGTGCTGACAGACTCAGACGGGTTTGTGTTAACGTGTTCCTGTAGGAGTTGTGTTTTCGCACCGTCATCCGGCACGTCACCCAAGGTGTTGTTTTCTTGTCTCGAAGGACTTCATTCGCTTATCTCACAAGCAACACGCTAAATGGCCCTCAAAGTGATGATCCTGATCGTGCCCTTTTCATTCCATTATGAACAACAGACCCTTCGGCGCGGTCTTTTGCTTCCTTCCAATCTCCATGTGCCCCTCCTCACCCCTTTTATCTGCCAGGGCAGAAACTCCATTACTGACGGGGCAGGCCACGCTGGCCTAATCTTACTGGCTCTTTAAACAGCCTTTCAGGGCAGCTCGGACTCTTTCATTTGTTCTGCATCGGACTGACCTTACCCAAATAACTGAGGCACACGAATCCCAGACTGTCCTTCCCAGCAGGGACTTGTTAATTTATCCCTTTTTTTTTTTAGCTTGTGGCATTCTTTGTGTCTCGTTGGATAAAATATGTGGTTTAGATGCTGGTCATAATAATTCAATCCAGTAAACATTAGCTGGTTTTAAATTCTCTCATACCTTATTTATTCCCCTGCAGGATTTTAGCTTAATGTTTAAAATACAAGTAAAGACGTCATTTAATCACAGTAGTCTCAGTCAACAGTCATGTCTCAATTAAAATGTTTTCAATGTAATTACTCTGAAAGATTTCATTGTGAGAACATAAGGAAGTTATCAGGTACAGGTTACTAATTATGATAAATATAGTTTGAAGGCGTTTTGTTCACTCTTCATCCTGCGTTTTGTGTTGTAGCATCACGTCCTCAGGGAAAAGCCACTTATCTGGAAAAAAAAATCAATTTTCTTTTAAAGGCATTTTGTTTGTCACCCACTCCCCTCCATCTCCCACCCTCTCTCCTAAAATTGATTTTATGCAAGACTGCGTAATTCAGCTGTTTATGATTTATTACATCTGTATATAGTTTGACACTAGGGTATGCGCTAATAGTGAATTGTGTTTGATTGCAAATATTGTTTTAGATTTTCAGATGCAACGCTTTAATCATCTTTTTATAGCTCTGGAATTTATTGTGTTAATAAATAACGGATTTTCTTCTTGTTGTGAGCCACGGTGGCCTTTAGAGACAGTTAAATGTTCGTTTGTGTCATCTCCCCCCCCACCACAAATATTTTATCCCACGTCAGCCTTGCAGAATTTAAAATAGCAAAATCTTGCAGTGGTCACGTTTTGTTTGTCATGCTTCAGAAGCAGAACACTTAGCAACATTCCCCCACATGCTTTCAGGAACACTGTTTTGTCTTCTTTTTGAAGACATCATAACACAAAATAAACCTGTCATCAGTCTCTGCGTTGGTTTGTACAACAGATTGATTGAAGGATCCATGTTCCTGTAGTTGTTCTTTATAGTAACAGATTGTTCAGTTTTGCTGAAAAAGCTCGACACTCGATAACAGGCATTTTTATTTGCACTCGTTGGCTTTACATTAGATGATCTGTTCCTGCCTTGTCACTTGACTGTGTAAAATTGCCTTTTTACTCACTGACCAAGGCGGGGGAGATCATTTGAGCGTGTGTTATTATCTCAATGACAGTCATTTTCAGAACTATCCAGTGCTTGTATGAGGGTGAAATCAGAATCATAACATTGAGGTGACTTTACTCACAATCTGAACAGCATAATGAGAAACTTCTGTCTTATTTTACAAAAAAAACAGTGTTGATAAAAGATTGTGTTTTTTTTCAGGTTTTAAAGATTTAGAAACATTCATGGGTGAAAAACTGCAGCAGTGTTTCGTCTGACTGATGGGAAGTTGACTGTGGGACTTGCTCATTCCACCTTTGTAAAACTTGTCAGTCAAAGCAAATTTAAAAATAGCTCCAGGCAAATATTCAGGCTACAATTAAGGTAATTAATTGGGGGATTGAGATGTGGGCTGTTGATAAACATGGGGCTTTCTGTGTGTGATGCTTTGTTTAGAAATGATCTAATGGCAGTGTTAAACTGGTTGGACTGACTTTTAAAGATTATGTTCAAGGGTCAAATCACAAAACACTAAGGATTTCCTTAAAGTTGCATTTTTGGTTTCTGTAGAATACCCTTAAAATTATCCTTTACTTCTTAACATTATTTAAAGTGCCTGTGAAATAAGTTTATTATATTAAATATGAATGCATTTTAGAAAGATAACATTAAAAAGTTTTGCATCTGAAGTAACAGGAAGTGATGTCAAAGGGGAATGTCTAATGGTATGTGCAAACTGAATGCGTTTTGAGCTGCAGGAGCAGCCAGTTTACATGMAAAGTCTATGGTGGACGMGCCTCTAGGGGTCTTGCRGGGCGTCAGGTCCGTTTGGCGCGGCGCAGAAGGAGCGGCAGAGCATTTTCCGCGCATGCGGTGCGGCGAAAGCAGTCGCCGCCCGAGTTCAAAAATCTGATATTTTCGCCGCGCAACGCTTCTCGACAACCAATCAGAGAGACTAATTTTTCCACCTGACAGTTTCCTGAATGTTGCCCACAAACAGACGGACAGGAGCTCTTTAGCTGGAATCGACCGTCTGTAGTTGGTGTTCTGGCTGGAGATATCAGCACCGATGTGGGTCAGCAGTTCATTAAACTGACCACGGTGTTAAACTGGGCTCGGGACAAAAAATAGTTTGTCAGCTCGCAGCTCCTGGAGTGGCGAAACTAACCAAACAAACCACCTCTAAATCATCTGGTGAATTAATTATCTGCTGTACGCAAAGTTTGCTTGCTCTTTAGTAAATAAAGCAAAGCCCTTTTCTTTTTTCTATCTTTATTTCATCCGCCGAAGACAGACCGGAAAAAAACCAACATGCTCCTCCCTCTTCAGACGCATGTCTAATCTGTGTCCCGGTCTGAACGTAGCGTGTCCAACTGGAGGCGTTGTGCACTTTTTTGCTGCTCAAAACGCGTTCATGTGAACGTAGCATAAATGTGAACAGAGCCTTACTACTACGGCTATGTAATCTCTTATTTTAGATTATTTTAAGTCACTATCAGGGATGCAGAAGAGTCAGAGTTTAAATAATATTGTTTCAATAAACAAAAAATAGACTTTACTTACTTTAAGTGTTCCCCCTTTATGTCACTTCCTGTTTCACTTTGGCTGAACCAAGTTCAAAAGAAAATATACCAGTTATGTGACAAAATGAGTAAAATCATAATTATTGTGCCAAGTCTCTTAAACATAAAGATGTTTTCTTTGACTTTTTGTATTTGAAGGACATACTTTGTCACAAGCACTTTAAAGTGTTGAACTAAAACCAGTTTTTTGATGAAACAGGTAAGGTAATTAAAGCTTTCTTTACTCAACAAAGGAAGTTGTTACTCCGATTCTTTCAAATACTGTGAACTAAGGAGGAATAAAGACTTTTAAGTGTCATAAGAAAACATAACATATGGTGTTTTGTGCAACCAGCTGCAGACTTCCAAGCTGTGTTTATAGTTGAATATCTGTATTAAGCTAATGACTGACTATGGTAATCCTAATTTAGTTCTAACAGATGCACCACTTATTTTTAACAAATGAAGCTGTTAGATTGTTAAAAGAGGATGATAAGGGCTTTTTGTCAGCTAACATGACATCATTGCAGCCATTTGAGTAATTAGGCTTCCATAAGGCTTCTTGATCATTTGTTTAAGTTTGTTTTTGTCTTCATCAAAATGAACTTTCATGACCAGGTGAAGACTTTTCCTTCTTTTACTGAAAGAATTTTCTGTCATGAATCCATAGTTATGTTTTTGTTATCCTTTATTCTGATTTGATCACTGTCCTTGAAATATATTTAGCTACTAGATGTTATTTGTCTGCTGTTATGTCTAATTTATATTCATATATGTACATAATGTGTGCAAATGAGCCCATCTTCCAGTACACATTCAAGGGTTCGCTGTTGTTTTTTTCTGTCGTCCTTCAGAACAAAATGTTCATCTATCGAGGGAAGGAATACGAACGCTGGGAGGACTTTGTAGCACGACTCCTCACACAGTTTCCCAATGCCGAGAAGATGAAGACGACGACACCGCCCAGCGAAGACACTACCAACTCCCCTGGACAGTGTATCCTTAGCACAATGTCATAGAATCATGTTAGAAGTCTATATATACACATGTGGACTTAATTATTGGTACCCTTCATTTAATGAAAGAAAAACTCACAATGGTCACAGAAATAACTTGAATTTAACAGGAGTGATAATAAATAAAAATTCTAGGAAAATGAACAAATAAAAACCAGATATTGCTTTTCAGCCCAACAGAAAAAATAATATAAAACTCACAAAACAGGCCTGGACAGAAATGATGGTACCCTTAGCTTAATATTTTGTTGCACAACCTTTTGAGGCAGTCACTGCAATCAAAGGATTCCTGTAACTGTCAGTGAGACTTCTGCACCTCTCAGCATGTATTTTGTTCCACTCCTCATGAGCAAACTGCTACAGTTGTCTCAGGTTTGAAGGGAGTCTTTTCCAGACGGCATGCTTCAGCTCCTTCCAAAGATACTCAACAGGATTTAGGTCAGGCTCATAAAAAGCCCCTTCAGAATAGTCCAATATTTTCCTCTTATTCTTGGATGTTTTTAGCTGTATTTTAGGTCATTGTCCTGTTGAAGACCCATGACCTGCTGAGACCAAGCTTAATGACACTGGGCAGCACATTTCTCTCTAGAATCCCTTGATAGTCTTGATATTTCATTGTACCCTGCAGATCCAAGACACCCTGTGCCAGATGCAGCAAAGCAGCCCCAGAACATAACAGAGCCTCTTCCATGTGTCACAGTAGGGACAGTGCTCTTTTCTTCATATGCTTCATTTTTCCCTCTGTGAACATAGAGCTGATGTGCCTTGTCAAAAGGTTCTGTTTTTGTCTCACCTGTCCAGAGGACATTGTCTCAGAAGCTTTGTGGCTTGTCAACATGTCTGGCAAATTCCAGTCGGGCTTTTTTTATGATTTGGTGTCCTCCTTGGTCGTCTTCCATGAAGTCCACTTTGGCTCAAACAATGACGAATGGTGCAATCTGACACTGATGTTGCTTGAGCTTGAAGTTCACCTTTAATCTCTTCAGAAGTTTTTCTGGGCTCTTTTGTTACCATTCATTTTATCTGTCTTTTTGATTTGTCATCGATTTTCCTCTTGCGGCCATGTCCAGGGAGGTTGGCTACTGTCCCATGGATTTTACATTTCTGAATAATATGTGCAACTGTAGTCACAGGAACATCAAGCTGCTTGGAGATGGTCTTATAACCTTTACCTTTAACATGCTTGTCTATAATTTTCTTTCTAATCTCCTGAGACAACTTTTTCCTTCTTTTCCTTTGGTCCATGTTGTGTGTGGTACACACCATGTCACCAAACAGCACAGTGAGTATCTGTATTTATTTATTTTTTATTTTTTATTTTACTGTTATTTTACCAGGCAAATCCCATTGAGATCTCAGATCTCTTTTTCAAGGGCGGCCTGGGCCTGAAGGCAACCTATTGTACATGTTTTTGTGTTGTGGGGGAAACCGGAGTACCCGGAGAAAACCCACGCAAGCACGAGGAGAACATGCAAACTCTGCACAGAAAGACCCCAGGTCCGAACCAGGGATCGAACCCAGGACCTTCTTGCTGTGAGGCGTCGGTGCTAACCACTGAGCCGTCGTGCCGCCCAATATATAGCCCTATATACAGGCCCACTAACTGATTACAAGATTATAGACACCTGTGATGCTAATTAGTGGACACACCTTGATTTAACATGACCCTTTGGTCACATTATTTTCAGGGGAACCATCATTTCTGTCCAGGCCTGTTTCGTGAGTTTTATTAAAAAAGAAAAACTGTTGAAGAGTGGTTGAAAAGCAATGTCTGACTTTGATTTGTTCATATTTATAGAATTTTTATTATTACGTTTGTCAGATTCAAGTTATTTCTGTGACCCTTGTGGGTTTTTCTTTCATTAAACAAGGGGTACCAACAATTTTGTCCACGTGTGTATTTGAATTTAAGCATAAAATTTATTACTCTTTGTTTTAACGTATTTATTTAGTTTTGAGGTTTTCCTTCTTTTCCTCTTAACTGCTGCCAGTTCTCCCCCAATTCAACCTTTTTTTGTATTTATTTTTCCATATGCTAATGACAAACACTTGTAAAGTGAACATAATTTGGGCAAAATGCTTGTTTGTCTAAATACTGTTGTTAAATCACCATTCATCTGTAGCAAAACATAAGATTTGTAAACTTAAACTGCAAAATTGAAAAATCAGGCCAATCTAATGAAATAGTTCATTTTGACCTATTCTATGCTGGGAATTATTAGTTTTGACCTTATCGTTTTTGCATAATCATTACTTAGATGTGATTGAGTTCAGTGGTTTCAATGGTTTCCTTAATGTTTCTTCCAAAGACCTTCAGTGTTTCACAGTTAAACCCCTCCTAAACCTGCCTGCCAAGTTTCAAAACAAGCCTGTCCCCGAACAAATCGTCAGGTAAGGTTTGTTCTTCACAGCTACAGGGCATGTAACTCACAAGTTGTAGGCATGTATTTCAATCTGCCAACGCCGAATTTACTTTCCACGGACGGTCAAACAGTCGATCGAGCTCGAGCCGGCACGCTGGAAGTGCATTAGCATTTCTGTTGGGTGTGCAGAGGACCACTGGGGTGAAGGTGATTAAATCTTGATTTAAATGCGGGCCTGTGCAGAACAAACACTGGTTGACCTTCTTGTTGTTCCAGTAGCTGTTAACTTTCATCAGCCATCTGCCATTAGTCACTGTGCCAAGTACAACATTGTTTCTCCGCCATCATTAATGGCTTTGTGTCAAGTGCCGGGGCCACTGCAAACAGTGGGCCCCTACGCTCCGGCTTGTCTTTGCGCCTGCCGGGCCCCGCTGCACTCAGCTGTGCAAATTCACTTTGATATGCCACCCAACGCATCAGTGAGCATAATTAAAAGAGGGCATTTACTTGGAAAAACCTTCAGGCAAATATACCTGGGCACCGATCTTATCACAAGCCTGCAGCATTGATTCTCTCAGCAGCCGGTTGGCTTGTTTGCTAACTGTGTCCGATTGGAGTGCGGCACTCTGGGAACGGCAGATTATACAGTCATGTTTAGAGACTGACAGAGAAATGTTCCACACAAGACTACCCATCCTTTTTTTTATTTGCTGCCACTTTTGTCTGACCCTTACCGTGCTGTTCCCACTTGTCTTTCTGTCCCTACCCTCTGTTTTTTCTTCTCATTTATTTTCTCATTCAGTGAGGAGATCAGCGGTGCATAGCAATGAGACTGAGCCATTTGAGCCGAAGGGTCACAGCCGCAGGCAGAGCTCACTCTATTCTGACCTTGCTCTGCCAGACCGAGCCACTCCGTCATCTTTAGCCTGCCAGCTAATGGCATGTAAAAGGCTTAAAAGGGGTAGCAAGCTGAGCTAAATCTGCTTTATTAATCTGTTTATTAGATCAGAAGCTCCGAGTCCTTTTATTTTTTTCTCCCTTGGTTAATGTCACACTTGCTCAGCTAATTTAGGAAGGGGTGTTATCATTGTAAGCACGCAAAGGAAACATCTAAACATTAGCGTAGCATGAAAACGTCTGAGTTCAGCTTTTACGTGAGTTTTGAACATCACAGTCTTTTTTTTTAATTAAAAAAGTTTCCTTACTGCTGTTACTTTAGGCATGAAGTGGCAGAAGAAGCAGTTCCGCTCATATTTTACTTATAATTATTCGCTATTAAATTCAGATCATGCTCTATGAACATATGGTGTGATTTTATGGATAGCAAATGCAATATGGTGTATATGGATTATAGCAACGTGCTCATTTCCACAAGAGAGTGAGAATGGGTTTCTGTTTCTGTCACCGTGAATGCGCGCAGACAGCTGTTCCCAGTGCTGCTATGCAACGCCATCATTTCCCGTCTTTGAAAAGTCCATTAACCTGTTCTGGCAAAGTTCATCGGAGCTTCTGTTGCACATGCTGCAGCTTATCTGCATGTCTGACAAGTCGGGCTGACTTCATGAGCTGCCAGTGATGTGTGTGACCCCAAAAAATTTATTCTTACTCTATGCAGAGATGGCCGTTCTTTAGGTAGATGAAAAGCCACTTGCTAAACTGTAGTTCTGGGCAGAGGTAGCCTGGAGGGGGTTTGTCCTGTGTTTGACCTGAAGCGAAGCAATCAGCTTGTATCAATCAAGCCACCGATTGGCCTGTAACAGTTTTAATTTACTCTGACACCGATTTTCTCCCTTCCCAGCTTCTACACAGTAAATGAAGTTCATAAATTCCAGTATTCCAGGCCAGTGAGGAAGGGAGAAAAGGACCCTGACAATGAGTTTGCGGTAATTTCTTTCTTTTTTCTTTTGTTTTTTTCCACACACCCTTTCCTGGTTCTAGTTCAATAGTATAAAATACCAAAAACCATTGCACATTTAAAGTATGCAGCTTTCTGCTGATTGTACACATGCAGGTAAAGCTTCATAGAGATCACTGTGTGTATTTGGAGAATAGACCAAGGATAATAAAAATCAGCTACCTTCTTTTGGTTCTCGGATGTGATATTACCAGTAGTGGGCACAGTTCTGCTAATCTGCTATGAGTTTATGAGTAGCACTAGCTTCTCATTTAGCAAATTAGCTTTTTTGCTAACTTTGGAAATCATTAGTGCACTCATTAGCTTTAGCTAAATTAGCTTCCGCTAATTTTAAGTCCACTAAAAAGTGTACAAATGTAAAACTTAAATTTTTATGCCGTTTGTCCTAAATAAATAAAAACTATCCCTTCTAATAAGCAGTGCTGGATGTGTCRGTCACCGTGTGTAGCACGTAGCAACTTTGACAGCTAAACTTCAAACTGAGTGTTAAGAAGAAATAAAATAACATTTAACAATATTTAAATAAAGAATACAAAAATTGACTTCCACAATTTTTTATCTGTTTAGCAGATTTGAGTTTAAGGCGCTAAGATTCTTGTTTAGTGGTTAGTGAAGGTAATGTTTTGGTTAGCTGTGCCCACCACTGGATATTACATTCATTCATGGCTGAGAAGCCTTTATAGGAAGGCTACACAGTAAAAGAAAAACGTGAAATTAATATAATTAATATAATATAATCTTTGAGATAAACCAACATTTAAAAAAAATTCTGTTGTATCCATTAATCATCAAAAATTTAAAGTGGGGCAATGAAAGTATTGAATTGGCCAACTAACTGTATTACTGTTGTGTAGAACCAATTCATGGTACTTGGAATATAGTTTATAATTTCATATTGTGGTGATCAATTTTCAATATATTGTTCAGCCCTACGTAGGATAACAAAGTATTTGTTCTGCTATTATATACACTTTCACCTTCAAGAGACGCTGATAAGCCACAGAAGATCAAAGTTGTTTTTGAACATGTTAAATAAAGGTGGTGGGTGCCAACAGGAACATCAAGGCTGTGATCTAAAGCTCTCTGACTACAATGCAGCTGTTACTGTAAAATCCTGATTTTTAGAACATTTACTGAATTATTCTTTGTGCGTTGTTAGTATCCAGGTAACTGTGACGAGGCGACGAGTTAAAACCTGTCACGCTTTCTTTTGTGTATTTACTGTGACTTGGAGTCAGCTGGATGATGGATTTAACTCATCTGAGACTTGCTGCTGTTCCCACACTGATTGGTCTTTCTCTGTCCTGCATGAGGGCTGATGGATATCTATGGCTGGGCATATTTTGTCTGTCACATCGATTAAACTTGTCAGTATATAAAAATCTTTGTACTTCATCATCCGTCCAGAGTGAGTGATCGGTACATTCTGCTGATAATGGGACGCTATTTACTTTAATTGTTCAGTTTGTTTGTCTGACACTAAGAAAATGGGAGGAAATGTTTCATGGAGAGATCATCATTATATGTTGCTGCTTCTGTTTAAAAGGAAATCAGTTTTTTAATGTGAACCCGTCGAACCGACCCATTATTTTGTAGTTTTTAAGGGTTGATTTAGTGTTTTGGAGCAAAAACCCTTTAAATTGCTTTGTCATCCTCCACTGTAATCTGTCTCACTGTGGTTTTGTGTTGTCATCTTTAGAACATGTGGATTGAGAGGACCACGTACGCGACGGCGTACAAACTTCCAGGCATACTACGCTGGTTTGAAGTCAAGTCAGTTTCCACGGTGAGTATGAAGGGATTTTTATTTTTTCTAATCAAATGTGGGTCTGTGGGCTCGCTTAAAGGCAAGTGATGTGATCGGTCCACTTAAGCAGTACAGACAATTGCCTGGACACAGGCGTGTCTTCTCCCAAACTAATAACAGAGCTCTCTTTGTTCTCTTTTTTGCCAGATGGCCCACATTGATTTAACCAAGCGGTGCTGTTTCTACTGAAAATAGCCACACAGCACAAGTACAACAAGGGGAGAGTTTAGATCTTCTGTCACTGTTGATTTTCTGTAGAATTACTACGATTGGTGCATCGAAAAACCTTTGGTAATGAGGTCTGGCTTAAATGTTTGCTTTAGAACTTGGCTGTTTCACCCAAGAAAACCAACAAATAGGAAAAGCATTGCAACTAATTTAACTTTCTGTTAATTATTTAGACTGCTCACAGTTTCTGGGACGTTTGGAGAAATGAGTTTATCGACATAATTTGGAGAGGAGGTTGCTGTGTCACTTAGAGCAGCGACACCCACTGCATCTTTTTAATCTCCTTATTTTGCTACAAATTTAATCCAGTGCTTAGTTTGATTAGCCTGTTATAATTCCCTGTTATAATAAGTTCAGTCTTTAGTTTTTTCATCGCTTTTCTATCTTAAAAGCCTCAGAAATCTGGAGACTAATACGTCTCACAATGAGAGGGTGAACGCACGAGATTTGAGGTTTTAAGATTATTTTACAGTTAAATTATGTCATTCTGCAAAAACTACAGAAAACATATAGTGTTCCTCTGCAAATACTACCAACAATTACCAATACAAATGGCTGGAAATGTGTGGATTGTGCTAGAAAGGTGGGTGGCTGTGGAAGGGTGGTTAGAGGAGTCGTTCCTCTAATGTGAGTTGGCAGTTCGATTACCAGCTATTCTGTCACATGTCGAAGTGTCCGTGGGCAAGACACTGAACCCCCACTGCCTCTGATGTGTGTCCCATCAGTGTGTGAATGTGATTTAAAGAAGTGATTGGTCTCTATAGCTGGATTTGTACATGTTAGTTTTGTAGAGGGCTGTGTAGATGGGTAAATGAGGACACAGATTGTAGTGTAACCCAGGGGTTCGTAACCTTTTTGACCTCGGGGCCCAATTTATTGAACAAAGTGGCACAAGGCCCAGTCAGACATTACCAATGTATGGATCAAAATGATAATTACTCTAAATCTTGGTTTGATTTTTATTGTATTTACATATAACTAAATTAAATACACTTACATTTTAAAAGTAAAACTCCTGTCAATAATCACAAGACGTGCTTATGACAAACTATTTTTTATATTGTAACCTGCCCACAACAATTATTTGAACAAATACAACGGTCAGTTAACAGACCACTCAGGCTTATCAACACAAAAATATATGTTTTTAACATAAACAATAACAAAAATAGACTATTCAATAAATAAAATTGTGGACATAAAATAAATAAATTAAAAATGTTTAAATGTTTCAAATACAAAAAACTAAAAATAAATTTGATAAAGTATAAATGAAAATATAGCCTTTTTAAGCTGTTCATATAGTGACAAACAATAACAGTAACAACAGCTTTTTGACAAGTTTAAAGTTTCTTTAAAATACATTAAAATATTTAAAAAATAAACTACAAAAAAAATAATTTGATGAAGTGCAAATTAAAATATAGCAGTATCTGCAACTGTATGTGATAATGTTTTGAACTTTTAAAATACTGCATGATAGAACCAGAAGCTGTACTTCATATTAGTGACAAACTTTGGCCTTTTTTTCGACGGGTTGCCATCATTTTTGCCTTCTACTTTTCATTTAAAATAAGTTTCCATTTTCAGCAGGTTTCTAAGGTCGTATTCAGACCTGACAATTTGGTCCGCTTTAAACGAACCAGAGTTCGTTTCCAGCGTTGGTCCGGACCTTTTGTGCAGGTGTGAATACACTCATGCGAACTCTGGTGCGGATCAAACAACCGGACCGAGACCTGCTTTTTGAGGTGGTCTCGGTCCGCTTTCAAACGAACTCTGGTGCGGTTCACTTCAGTTTGCTTCTGGTGTGAATACAGACCGGACTCTAACCGAACTAACTGCATTAAACATGCACCTTTTTGGACTTCACAGGCCACCGTTGCTGAGCTAAATAAACTGAAATCATACCTTTTTCGTCGTCTCCTGTTAGAAGCTCTGCTGGCAGCATGTTGTGGGTCAGAACACGCAGCGCACCTCGTCTCCTTTGGGTTGCGGGACACATTTACGTGATGTCTCTCCAAAATTAGAATATCATCACGGAACCGCCATTAAATTAGCTGCTTTTGACATTTTAAATGCTATTGCAGTTTTACTGTCAGCAAAACTGTGCGCATCAGAACCGCAACATGCAGGACTTCCTTGTTTCTTTCTGGGTCTGTGGCTCAGTCCCACCCCTGTCCTTTTTTGTCCAATGGGAGCAATGATCGTCAGCCTCATGGCTTTGTTTACAACTTATATTCATTTGCAAAAAAGCACAATGTGAATGCAAACCGCACCAAACGAAAAAAATAAAGTCCACTTTTGGTCCGGACCAAACAAGCGGACCAAAGGACTTTCCTGGTCTGAATACACCATAAGGTTCTTCTTCTACATATCAAAAAGGTTGTTAAACATCTGAATGGCGCACTACCGGTACTAGTGGCGTGAAAGTGTATTGCACCTCATTCAAAATCAATGCGGTCCCATGGTCCTCTGCGGCCCAAAGTTAAAAACTGTTGTTCTTTTGAGGCCCTCAAGGTGGCGCTCGCAGCCCAATTAGTTTAAGAATTTCTGGTGTAAAGCACTTTGAGTGTCCTGATTGATAGAAAGGCTGTATAAGTACAGTCCATTTACCATGTAAATGATTTTTATGTGGGGAAATCAACTACATAGTCAATGAATTCCAAAATTCTAAGTCGTCTACAGTCAGCTAGTTGTGTTTTGTCTTTGGCAGAGTTTATATTTTTAGATGTTGTTTTGCTCCCATTGTGAGACGTATTACTCTCCATACAGGAAGTACCACTTTTTATTTTAAGGTGTTTATTATTCTAAATTTGTAATTGTCCAACAAGACTGTGTATTTAGTTTAACATAAAAATTACAAATTTTTAGCACAATCCACATATTTGCAGTCCCTTGTATTGTCTTGTTCTCCATCATCATACTGAGTCAGAGCAGACATTCCCTCATTCAGCCTTTGTAGCAGCTTGCCCTCCAGATGAGCCTGGACGAGGCCAGGTCCCAAAGGTCAAAATCACTATTTAAAGCTTAATAACTCTGCTGCAGTTCACCAGGATTAATCCCTAAATCTGAGAATTCGTTTTAACAAACAGGTCTAAGACACAGCAGCACAGATTGGAGATTTGTCTTTTCTTGTCTCGGGTCTAAAATCTGACATTTGCTCAACCAGTCCTTCTTGTTTTTTTTCTAAACCCTTACTACTAGGAGGTGATTTTTTTTTATCTTTTCCTGCAAGATGGAAATGTCATGGAATTTCTCCAGTCAAAGGATACCAGTATTAACCTGCAAGCTAAGGAAGTGAACCTGGAAACCAATGAAGTGGGAGCAAATCAATCAATCAATCAATCAATGAAATCTTTTTGTTTGTCATGGGTTTTGTCTCAGAGTTATATTTTGTTGATCCAAATGTTCATCTTCAGTTTATAAATGAAGATGAGCTGCTTTACTCGTCCTTATAGCTCATTTTTATTTGTGTTTGTTTCCAGTTGTCTGTATGAGTATTGACCCTGAAACAGGTGAATAGGTGCTGAGTGTTTCTGATGACATTTTTTTACACATTTTTCTGCACAGGAGGAGATCAGTCCCTTGGAAAATGCCATGGAAACGATGCATCTAACCAACGAGAAGATCAACAACATGGTTCAAAGGCACCTGAATGATCCCAACCTGCCCATCAACCCCCTCTCCATGCTGCTGAATGGGATCGTGGATCCAGCTGTGATGGGAGGTTTCGCCAACTATGAGAAGGTGATCAACATGAAAACATTTTTATCTGTCCCAGTATTAACAAATCAACACTTCCTTCTTTACGTTATCTGCTAATTCACTTCAACAGGAGCATATCTAAGGGTTTAGAATGAGTATTTTAAAAAACAACTAATTTAAGTTGCATTCAACTTTAACATTATGAATAAAAATCTAACCGGTCTCTTGAAAATCTCATTAAAGGCAAATCAAAGTAAAATTAAACACAGCGGGCTTCAAAACAAACCAATGGGTCGTCAGGCTACACTCACAGCATGTTGGCTTTAATTTGTAGGTGTTGAACATTTTAACCAGAAAATGAAGAAGTTGTTATTTTGTTTTGCTTTGTAGAATTAACAACCCACTGCTCCCATTTTATCAGTTAGGCCATTGAAAAATTAAAGCAGATTATTATTTTTTATTGTTTTTAGCTTTTTGTTGTGTACTTTTTTTCTAAAATCTATTTTTCAAGAGACGTTTCTGAATTTCCTAAATGTTTTGTTTTTCTTTCATAATAAAAATTATTTTTTACAAAATGTAAGGAAAGATGTTTGCTTGGCTCAGTATGTCTTTGTTGTCACAATGCTTCCTGGCAATAATTTGTAAACTGTTGGAAAGCCTAAAGTGCCACATACAATATATAATAGTATAAAACTTATTGCCAAAACAAAACACTTGTTTCTGGACTTTTTATGGTGTTTTGTTAAACTGAACATTCCTCTACATCATGTTATTCTTTGACATGATGTAACTCGTAGTTTTTTTCTTTTTTGCTAATGCCAGTCTTCTTTTTTCAAACTGGTTTCCATCAAATTTTTCATCTGATTCTAACCTCACAATTGTGACCTATGGGTGGGGAAAGGAAAATTCTTTCCGCCTCGATTCTGATGGAAAATAAAAGGAGAAAGATAACCTCTTGGTTTCCTAGTCTCTGTCCTTACAGGAAACCGATTTATACTGGACCTATAAAAGTTGCTGTATGAGTCAGAAGAGAAGTGATGGGAATTCTTTGCCCTCTGGTCACGGTTTCATTTCAGTGAAATAGTGCAGGTAGTGGAGGACAGACTGATGTCTAGATTACATTTTTGCACCTTAATGCACCAATTCAAAAATGCTACCCGTGTCTAGTCATGTGTTTTCTTTTCTATTCACCTTCTTTATGTTATAAACCTTCCATATTTCAGCCTTCCCCTGAACTTACTTCACGTTTTCCTTCCTTTACACACTCCTTACACTTACGTCTCTTTTCACTCTCCCCAGGCCTTCTTTAACGACAAATACATGCTGGAGCACCCGGAGGACCTTGAGAAGATAGAAAAACTGAAAGATCTTATCGCCTGGCAGGTGAGCCTCAAACAGTCGGGGGTCTTCTCTTCTGTTTTCTTTGTTGTGTTTATTTGTCTGCTTCGCCAAAGATTTTTACAGTTCAAGGAAACCGACCTCGGCCCGGCTTGTCACAAGTTGTTTACTTTTAAAAAATGACTCACTTTGTGGTATTACTTTAGTGGCACTTGAACTGAGCAGAGGGACTCGTGGCCTACAGGCTGACAGAGTGCTGAGCGTGGGTAAGATGGTAAAGAGGAACAGGAGAGCCATGACAATGCACATTCATGTCATTCGGCGATTTAGCATAATTTAGATTTAATTTACGCTCGTTTGCTTTGGGGGATTCACTTACCCCGTCAGGAGCTGAAGCGTAGTGGCTTTGTTCTGCATCTAAAGTACAATAGATGTGTTTCACTGCAGACGTTTTGACTGGAGTTAATATTTTAGTGTGGCTGCTTTTCACTTAGAGGGAGTTCCGTTTCTGCAGTCAAAAATATACTGACATAAGTCTGTGGTCAGAAATAAGAATCTTATTGTTTTTAAATTCATTGCACCTTTTGGTAGCCTTATACCACCAATTAAAGAAATAGTTTATAGCCGTGGTTCCCAACTAATTTTCCTCAAAGCCCCCCCTTTCTTACTTCCAAGCCAAGCTGAGCCCACCCATCCCAAAGATGCATTTAATCCCTTTATCAAAATAATAAACTGAATAGTTATAAACTTTTATCTGGAAAAGAAAACATCAACTAAGTTTTACAGAGTTTTAAAGGGGGCTATATCATGTAAAAGCCACTTTTTTTAACCATTAAATACATTTTGTTTTGTACTTGGAGTCTCTAAAAGTGCATAAAAGTTGAATTTAGTCTCTCACAGTGCTGCGTAGATATTTTTATATTCTGTTTGGGTCGTATTTTTCATTCTGTTCAACTTTCTCTATTCTCTGAGATGTTTTCTGAACTATTACATCACAGTATTTGTGACAGAACTGCCAAATAAGATCTGATCTTTCCAACTACAATTTGGTGGTCTTCATTCTCCTCTGGCTCCAACATGTAATGCCGGATGGACAAGTCTTCCCTTGTTGACATCTTATAATTAAGTTGTAAAGAAAAATGTTTTGTGACTATATAGTCATAAATCCTTCTATCAAACTAGAACCACTCTGGAAGCTGGAGGGGGGCAGGGTGTGAAGCACCTTGTTTGGATTTAAAGAGACAGCCTCAAAACGAATTGATCTGAGACACACCTCAGAAAAGATGTGAAAGAGGGGCTTGTGGAGTTACAATAAGGAAGAATTCAGACCAAAGCATTGCAGTTCCACTTTATATAGACCCCAACTGAATGATTCAAATGTTAAAAGAATGATGTAAAAGCAGGATATGTCTCATTTTATTATTCAAATAGACTTGTTTTAGTCATTCAGAAGTCTTTCTGACAGAAGTCATTCTGTTTCCAACTTACAACACAAACAGTAACACTTGCATCAACCTTTCCACTCTGGCCCCGTTTGAAAAACAACTTGTCACCAACCTGGGTGTAAAAATGGATCCATACTTGAAATTAAAACAGTCATGTAAACGCCATTGTTAAATGCTGTTTTTTTTATTTTTATTTTTTTTTTTTATTTTATTTTTTTTCAGCTGAGGAGACTGTCCAAGTTAAAACCCATCCTGTCAAAAAGAAATCTGGAGACAGTAATGCATGCGTTCATTACATCCAGGCTGGATCACTGTAATGCTCTGCTATAAGGAATCAGCCAGTCCTCCTTTGCTCATTTAGAAATGGTCCAAAACTGGCACAAGTAAAAGAACATATTACTCCTGTTCTAGCATCTCTTCATTGGCTTCCGGTTCATTTTAGAATTCACTTTTAAGATCCTCCTGTATGTCTTTAAATGCCTAAACAGCTCCGCCCCCTCTTACCTCTCAGATCTAGCGCATCCACTTGTCCCACAGCGCTCTCTTAGATCATCTGGTCAGCTGCTTCTGAAGGTCCCTAACTCTCGTCTCAAACTGAGAGGTGACAGATCCTTTTCTGTAGCAGGTCCAAAACTGTGGAATGATCTACCACTACATGTCAGACAGTCTCCTTCCCTCTCTGTCTTCAAGTCTTGCTTAAAAACACACTAAATGCTCCATATATTTATTTATTTATTTTGTATTTTGACTGTAATTTTAACTATGTCCTGTTGTGTCTGTCTCTTGTACAGYGCTTTGGTTGGCCTTGTGCTGTTTAAAGTGCTTTATAAATACAAGTGGTATGGTATGGTATTCAAACTGATACCTTCACAACCTGAAATCTGACAAGGTTATCCCCTCCTTGTGCTCTCCCCCTGGGAGCAATCAGGTTGGGAACCACTGGTTTAAAGTATCAGAAGTGAAGTACTGTGAAAAGGAAGAATTCTAATTGTACTTGTTGTAGACGGCTTTTTGTATGAGTGGAGAAATAGAGTTTAATTAGCTGGGATTGATGAACTAACAGATTTTACTTTAGTTTAGCATAACTCAAGACCAAATGGTTTGCTGCCATCATGAAGCTACTCCAGTCTCAGAGAATTCATGGCCATTCACGCAAATTCTCATTGTTAATCCTTAACATCACATTTTGTGTTACGTTAACATACCAAAAGAAATATTATGAATTTCTTGCCATAAATCTGGATCTCCTCACCATGAAAAGGCTGTCTGAAAACACAGTACTGAATATAAAACTGTAAAGAGTCCATTGACAGAAACTGACATGAGCGGGGAGTGAAAGTCTGTTCAAAGGAGATCGTGTGGGGGAAAAGTGCTGAAACAAACCTACAGAAGTTGTCAAGTTGCTCCACTGCAGCCAGACAGCAAGAGCTCAGCAGTGGTGTTTTACGAGCTTTGCACCTTCTCTCAGCCTGGAGGAAGTGCTCACACAGCAGAGCAGGACTGCACACTCACACAACAAGCACACGCTGTTAAACAGCTTACTGTGAAACTCTGCACCTCGTTTCAGCATCATCTTGGATTGATAAACTCCTGGCTATCTTTCCAGTCGCAACTTCCTCCCTTTGGGATTTTAGCGTGCTGTGCCGTAGGCTTTGTTTCCCTTTTTTTTTTCTTTTCACAAAGCTTGCTCTACTATCAAGCTCTGAACTGCAGGTCACATCATTATTCAGGAAATGATAGCTTCCTGGTTTATAATTCACCCAGGAATTAAATGCACATACACAACATTTGTCTGTCACTTCCTATCTCTGGCTGCAAGGAAACATAATTGAATTTTTGATGGCTGTTCCTGTCTTAGTTGCTGGAAAATAGGTCAACTTTGTGTTTCACGTCTTTGGTAGAAATCAGAATCTGAGATGTTGGGCTGCTTTTCTGTGCGCGAAATCCTTTGGCTTCATAAGTAAGCATGATTCACACAGAAATATCCAAATCTTCTGTCGCTTTGCCTGTTTTGGCTCTGAAGTCTTCAAGCTCCGTGTCTTTTTTCATGCAGCTCACTCGATGTAATGCACTTCTTGTAATTACTGTTTTCCATATTTGTCTGGTTTGCCATTTTCATCTTTAAGTTATTCGAATTCTTTGAACTTGGTGGGGGAATGTGGGAAATCACTGAAGAAGCTGGAGGTGACGCAGCAAGAGAGGATGACCTAAAATAAGTTTGTATTTCAGCACTTCTCAGAAGTTCTGAATATCACTTCATATTTTACATGTTTCCCCACCATCTATGGAGGAAGTGGGTAAAAATATCTGATCCCTATTTTTACCAGAATGAGATAAAAGAGCAATTTTATCTGGATTTTAAAAAAATGTTCTGTTTGAAAATACGTACGGATCTCCAGGCGCAGATTAACTTGTTTACAAGAAAGACGAAATACATCTTCATTTAGCTGACGGAAAACATGAAAACAACACGCATTTAAAGGTAGAATTTAATCAGATTTGAAATGTTAGCCACAAACAGCAGATTTGTTAATTAATCTTTTGTCTTAAATTTGTGTAAATGAGACAAACGAAGGCAAACCGACTCAAACAAACAAACCATACAGGGAGAAATGAGCCTGAGTGAGATACCCAATGTGCTCGTGTAGTAATTAAAGGAAATGGGTGTCTGGGAAACAGGGAATTAAGTATTGTAAAAAAGCTCCCAGACAGTTAAAAAGCGGATGAATTTGTAAGTTTAATATTAAGTAGATGTTCTGGATAGGGAGTTTTAATTACTGCCTTAAACTTCTCATGACTGATGCTATGAAAATGTGATAAGAATTTAAGTAATCAATAGCTTGGAACATACACTCACCGGCCACTTTATTAGGTACACCACGCTAGTAACGGGTTGGACCCCCTTTTGCCTTCAGAACTGCCTCAATTCTTCGTGGCATAGATTCAACAAGGCGCTGGAAGCATTCCTCAGAGATTTTGGTCCATATTGACATGATGGCATCACACAGTTGCCGCAGATTTGTCGGCTGCACATCCATGATGCGAATCTCCCGTTCCACCACATCCCAAAGATGCTCTATTGGATTGAGATCTGGTGACTGTGGAGGCCATTTGAGTACAGTGAACTCATTGTCATGTTCAAGAAACCAGTCTGAGATGATTCCAGCTTTATGACATGGCGCATTATCCTGCTGAAAGTAGCCATCAGATCTTGGGTACATTGTGATCATAAAGGGATGGACATGGTCAGCAACAATACTCAGGTAGGCTGTGGCGTTGCAACAATGCTCAATTGGTACCAAGGGGCCCAAAGWGTGCCAAGAAAAGATTCCCCACACCATGACACCACCACCACCAGCCTGAACCATTGATACAAGGCAGGATGGATCCATGCTTTCATGTTGTTGACGCCAAATTCTGACCCTACCATCCGAATGTCGCAGCAGAAATCGAGACTCATCAGACCAGGCAACGTTTTTCCAATCTTCTCTTGTCCAATTTCGATGAGCTTGTGCAAATTGTAGCCTCAGTTTCCTGTTCTTAGCTGAAAGGAGTGGCACCCGGTGTGGTCTTCTGCTGCTGAAGCCCATCTGCCTCAAA